AGGTGAAATCTCACCTCTTCACCTAAACATTATTTTTGTCGAAAAAAAAATGGTTCATTTACTCACAATATTTTTTTACAAAACGACCCCAAACTTTTAACTTCTTTTCTGCAGCTTCTAATGAAATTTTAGCGAGTTCATATTCTCTAAATTCTCTCTTTAAATCTTCTTGTTCCCATTGGTCTAGTTCGTATGGAGAATCTCTATAACCAGAACATATCTCACGTTCATGTTCTATTTGTTTTTCATGCATTTTTCTAACTTCTTGTTCGAACAAAGGTTTTGCATTCTCTACTGTATCTTCAAGTTCTTCTTCATCTAATTTCTCATGAACTTTCTTGTCTATGGAGTCCAGAATTTTTCCAACTGCTATACAATATTTTGGAGAAGCCCACATTGCAATATAGTTTACAAGTCTTGGGTCTACATACGTTCCTCTAACCTGTTTGATTTCATCAGGAATTCCTGCATGAACCTTGTATAAAAAGCAACCCGCTGTTTTCCGCGGGTTGGTATATTCTTCACAAAATGCCGTATAATACTCTTCCCAGGACTTATTTTCCAACAACCTTCTAAAGTCTTTCCTAAACTGCTGACACATATTTGTTGCATTTATATAACCATCCTTGTCTCTACGTAAGACTTCAATACCGTTGTAAGTGCCTTTTGTGAATGTTTCGCCATTAGATTTGTTCGTGAACGTTTTTGCTTCGACTGTCATTCAGTACGTACAATAAAAATAAAAAACTAAACTTTTTTTCTATCTTAAGGAAATTTCATGAAAATTCAAGAGGTGACAAAACATTTACGATGAAATCATGAAAATTCATGAAAATTCAAGAGGGTAGAAAAGAGGTTAGAAAAGAGGTTAGATATACCCATCTACCCTAAAATATATTTTTGGGTCATTTACGCTCATTCCGATGAAGAAGTTTCGACAAAACATTTACGAAGAAATTCATGAAAATTCAAGAGGGTAGAAAAGAGGTTAGAAAAGAGGTTAGATATACCCATCTAACCAAAACTCATTTTTCAATACTTTTTCAGCACTTCTCCGTAGTTATATATGAAAGACAATTCGAGATAAAAGTCGTAGTACAATGGAACAATATGTTGCACACCATTTGTTGTGAACCAAACTTGAAAGTCAGAGAAACTGTTACTAGGTGGTTCGTAGAATTTAGAAGCAAAGTCATAAAAGTCCTTACCAATACAAAGAAAACTATTGTTGCTTGAACTGAAACTTGCATGACACATGACATTTTGAGGGTCAAACACGTTTCTATAAACTGTCAAATCTGTTGGTGGGCGTATAAACCAGAACGGACCGTCAGGTGGTAATGGTTCGTTCTGGTTTAGTAACCGAAGAAATTGTGCCCAAGAACGTTTGTCTACTTGCCAAAATAAAAACTGTGTATCTCTTGGAGGGTTATTTTCAATCCTTTGAAATGAAACTGTGGAGTTCATCTTGTCATATTCTAGTTTCAGATAGTATGTTCCATTTAGTAAAGAATCGTATTTTTCTTGAAATTCCCAGTAGTATTTGTTTATTTGAGTTTGAAAGTCATTTAGAGTCTTCTCAAGACTTTCGTCTGAACGAATTGTAAAGATTCTCATTTCGTCAAATTTGTCTATTAGACCATCAGAACTCTATATTGCCCATGAAAATATACTGCGAACATAAAAGCGTTAGTTCTATTTGAAAACAAAACTCTTCTAAATCCTATTGCCTTTGCATCTGAAGGACTTTGAAGCCAACGAATTGGAAAGTCAAAGCGGTAGGAGCCGGATGAAATTTCTTCATCTGATATAGTCCTACCAGCGTTTGTAAAGATATAGTCTAACGGTTTTGTATCTGCTGCTTTTGTTTTTGTTTTCAACCTGAACATTTTAATATATGTAAAAATATACTGTTTTAAAAAATGTTTTAAAATGGTATGCCATATAGCTTCTTGAATTTGTTAAGATGTATTTGAACGTATTTTCCATCTGTATCTCTAGTGTTTACATAAGCACAGCCCGCCTTAGTAAAACATACTTGTAATTTTCTATAGTTTACGCCGGTATAAAAGTAGAAAGAGTCCTGTTCTTCGCTATAGTAGTAAAACTCAAACGTATGCTTACCATAGTCTGTAATTTCAATTGCTTCATCTTCTAGTTCGTCGACAAATTCGAATACTATATCTCCAAATTTGCCTCTGTTCTTACTGTTTTCAGAACAAGTGACCCAGCGTAAGTTTTCAAGTCTATTGTCGTTTCTTATATGGTTTATATGGTCTACAAAAGGTAGATTGTTAGGGTTCGGTATAAAATGAGTTGCAATGACAACATGTTTAAGATAGTGTTTCCCACCAATCCTCATCCTAGCATATCCGTTATTTTGCTCCCATTCGCTTAAAACTCTTTTTGTCTTTTTGTTTCTGACTTCAAATGACTCACAACAGTGAATTTCATATTTCTCATCTAACAAACAAGTTTTCCAACGGTCTTCTCCAACAAACTCGGCGTACATTTCAAATAAAATAAAAAAATATATTTTAAAAAATATATGTTTTTCTCTTTACTTTACGTAACCACCGGCTACCAAAAGCCTTTGACGCCAACCCATACCAGCTAATGAAGGTTGACTTGGTTTAGTTTGGAAACTAAACTTTGGTTTTGGTTTATCTTCAGTTTTTGGTTTTTCTTCTTCTATCGGTTTTTCGTCACTTTTCGGTTCCTCTGACTTTACTTCACTTGCAGGAACAGTTGTGTCGTCAACATCTTCATAAATATCATATGCCATTTGTTTTTGTTTTCCTTTCAACTTTTTGTGTTTGTTGTAAAGTTTAGAATATTTCGACTCTAAGTCAATGAGATGTTCTATAATGAACTGTTGGTCAGTGAAGTAAACTTTTCCATCTGTTGTCTCGAAAGCTCCTTCAGACTTCAATATTTTATTTGTGAGAGTCTGTTTCTTTTTTGAGATACTAGCCGTTCCATTTCTATGAAAAGTGACTTTATAGTTAGGGTTTGTATTTCCAGACCTGGCACTTTCTATTATTGAATTTTTCTCTTCATCTGTAAGTTCTTTGACAGGTTTTGACAATGGTTCTGAACTTTTTGTTTGTGGTGTCAAATCTACCGTTTCAACTTCTTCGGTCATTTCATCTCAGTAAAAATTTTAGTTTGTTTTGTTTTCAACTGGTTGTTTAGGTTTTTTAAGTCGGTCTAAAACTTCCTGAGGTATAGGAAGAACTTGACAAACACGTGGTTGTGTAACTGCTGGAAGCCGACAAATCCATCTTGAGCCCATTTGTCTCAATGCTGTATTGTTCATTTCATCTCAGTAAAAAATTTTACATTCCCCAAGTTTGAGGCGGTTGAGGTTGGTTATTGTTTACCCACTGTTGTGCATGGTTATATCCTCTGTTAAAGAATCTTTCACCTTGGTCCATATAGTGTCCTGCTTGGTTATAGTAGTCATTTGCTTTGTTATAATAGTTTCCTGCTTGTCTTCCTACATTGTCCATCCATCCTTGAACTTTTCCTCTTGTTTCAGGATTTGGAATAAGATTTGTTGCATCTCGTGCTACCTCCCAACCTTTCTGTACAGTTTGTATAATAGGTTGTGCTTTCTCTTTAAGTATACCTAATGTACTCAAAATCTTCCTTCCAACTCCAAATACACCTCTGGCTATTGTTCCACTGCGGGCAAAAATCTGGATGCAACTCCTGCTAATGCGCCAAATAAACCCATTTCTTATAGGATAAAAATGACGAATCCAAACAAGGACCCGTATGTTTCTAAAGCAACAAAGAAAGCACTCATGGTAAAAATCTTTAGTTCAACACCAAAATGCTTGGTTTATGGATATCTTGGAAAACATTCCGAGGTATAGAGAAGATGGACCACCATACTGGCTAATATTTGTTGGTCAAAACACAAGATACTGTGAAGCCATACCATTACAGTCCAAAAATATTTTAGATGTGAAAACTGCTTTGACAATATTCGTTGACAAATACCATCCAACAAAACTGACATCTGACTGTGAAAGTTCTTTCAAATCAGACGATATTAAAAACTATCTGCGTTCAAAAAATGTAAACCAATATTTCATTGTCGACCAAAACCATTCTGCTCTTGGTGTCATTGACAGTTGTATAAAAATCTTAAGAGACTTAAACCAACCACAAGGTGGTGAGGTAGATGAAATGTCATATGACGACAAATATAGACACTTCTCCATGGCAAAGATGAGACAAGTTTTAAATATTTACAATAGCCGTAAACAAAAAGGTTTGGGAAACCACTCCCCCGAAGAAATGAAAAACAACCCTGACTTAGAGAAAGACTATATATTTAATAGTTTAGTCAAAAGAGACAAACAGAAAGAATGCCAGGCTTCAAACTTAAGAAAGGTGACAAAGTAAAAATAGAAATACCTAAACGCGACCCATATGAAAATACTATTGACTATGACAACAATGGGAACCCGACAGGTACTCGCATTCGTGTTCGTAAAAATAGAAGAAAGTATACAAGAGAATATTATGAAGTTTTAGGCAAACATGGCAAAATGTACACACTGCAAGCAGAAGATAAAACTACTATTGTCAGACCTCGTTTCAAACTTGTCAAAGTTCAAGTGGTATACTTTCAAAGACAGTTCCTAACAAATATAAGACAACTCCTGACGAATATGCTAAAGAAGTTGAAAATGACGACTAAACAATTCTATACCATGCGTAAACTGTCATGTAAGGTGGCATGTATTCTTTACTCTGTCCCGTTGTTTGCGTATATCCTGAAACGAAATGTGTATGGTTTCCTTCTCCCTGCGTGTCATCCCAGTAACAATTTATAGCAAACTTAACGTCGTCTTTAACATCATATCCTTTACCTTTTGTCAAGGCGTGCCAATCCCAAAATTTATGCTTATGCCAACCTGCTTGAGATGTACTTAAATCTACGTAGTGACTGTGCGCAGGTAGGTTTTCACCTGAAATCGTTTTACTTCCGCCTGTTTCCTTTGAAGAGTTTGCACAATACAAAAACCTGTCGACTATTTGAGTCCAAGTTCCAAAACCAAGTACTACTTCTGGTCTGGTAGAGTTCATTGACGTGTAAATAGAACCTATAGGATATACTGTTTGAAGTATTTCTGTCTTTAACGTTTGAAGCTCTGTTTTGTCAGCTTTCTTATCTAACTCATCGTTAACATATGTTTTGTCAGCTTTTTTATCTAACTCATCGTTAACATATGTTTTGTCAGCTTTGTTGTCATATAAATCTTGAGCAGTGAATTTAACTTTGTTTTCATCCTCCATGACATAGACATTTCTACATCTAATGTATCTCATCGTTGTTATGTCTTCTTCCGATGTTAAACCTTGTGGAAAGTTAGGAGGTTTCCAATTTAATACATCCCCACCAGTTTCTTCAACCGTTCCTTCAATATTTTCTATACCAACAGTTGCGAAGAAATCGTGTGTATGTCCAACGTCACTTTTCTTGTTTAAGGTTTCTTGTAAGTTTGTAATATCAGATATGGTATGTGTATGAGTCTTTTTAGAATATTCTTTGTCAGCTCTTGTCACTTCACTTGACATTTTATTGTCAACATATGTTTTATCCGCTTTGTCATCTAACATTGCTGGTAGTTCATCTACGTCATAGATGTTATGTGTATGATGTTTTTGTGGGTATGTTCTATCTGTCCATGCGAGAATATAGTCTCTTGTTGCATCTACATACTCTTTGTCAGCTTTGTTGTCAACATCTGCTTTCAAAAGAAGTTCTTTTATAGGTTTCTCGTTTAAAGTTCCTTTTGTTGGATTTACACAGACAGTATGGTTCTTACTGTCTTGAAACAGAAACTCGTCTGTTAAAGGGTTTAATGTCAGTTTTAAGTTTCCTTCTTTCAATGACTCAGATATCTTAGAATAGTTTGAAAAGTTTGTTGTGTTCTTATTTAGAGCTTGCACAATGAGTTGTCGGTTGTGTTGTATTTCTCTCATAGACGCTGTTTCTTTCGACATTTTTATTCTAGATAAAATATGCTTTCAATAGAAAAAGAAAATTCAAGAGTTGCTACAACTAAACCATTAGATGAACTTTTTACTAATGTCGGTCAAAAGTTTGAGACAGAGACCGTAAAGCATGAAGGCTATCGTTTTGACTACCCACTAAGATGGTTAAGAGACCCATCCGTCACAAAAGCTATTGGCTTTCGTAGAATGAAGTTCATTTCAGAAGCCATACATGGTTTCCCATTTACGGTCGCTTTTGAAGTTCGATACTATAACAAAGAAAAACGTACGTATGAGAAATTTGAACAGGGAAAACTTTTACAAGTGAATTTGCTTGTAAACTTAGAAACAACTCTTCAAGCTTTTCAAGAAAAAATAAACGATATCTATCTCGAATATGCAAAACAGTACAACATTGACGAAGGAGAATACCATCTCGATATTATATATGACAGGAAAAATGCAACTGTTAAAATCAATAGAATAGAAGACCTTGGAGAAAACGTTTATATTTCTACAAAATATAACAACTTGGCATGGCATAGATTTATGAGGATGTTAAATCAGCCTGCATGGTATCCAGTACACCCGGACTATTATGAAGTCGAAAACCCTAATGGAACATATGAAAATGTTTTCGACTCAGATGCTATTATAGTTCATGCTTCATTTTCTGGTGCACAAAACTCTTTTTTATGCTTGGCAAATGACTTTTACGAAAAACCTACAAAGCTATATGAACCACCGAGTGGAAGTATTTCAGACTTTCAAGTATGGTTTACTACAGATGGAAGAAAGAGAATAATTCCATTATACCACGCGTTTTACTTAGAACTTAGTTTCATATACAACTACTATCGAACGGTAAAAATATAATTTTAATACGGTTGAGGTGTTGGATTTGGTTGCCAACTAGACTGTGGTGCAGGTTCAGGCTGTTGTATAACAGGAGCTTGCTCTTCTGGTTCAGGGTCTTTAGGTATAATACCAACGAACTGACCTACTCTTTTGCCAATATTTTTGACTCCGTTCCAAATTCCTCTTCCGACAGATTTTATTCCATTCCATATACCTCTTCCAACATTTCGAAAGAAGTTTCCTATCTTACTGAAGAAACCCATTTTACTATATGTAAAAATCTAATGTCCGCCTAGTCTCTTACGTTTCCTTCTGAGTTCCATTGCATTTTTTAACTGGAGCTCATACATTCTATTTCTCCTCTGGTAGAAAACATACTCTGGGTCAACTCCTGTGTTCGCGTCATCTGCATAAAGTTGTTTATATCCCACTTCAGGGTTTGTATAAAACTCTTTCCATCTCATATTTGCATACCATGGTGGCAAACCTAACGCAGCGTCATTTGACATGGCAGTTTGCATTTGTACATCTGTTGGCACTTGACCATAGTTTGCCATTGCAGTTTGTATTCTAACTTCATTTGGAATATTCTCTGGGTTTGGTTGTCCAGGTTGCTGTGCATTCGCTAAGTTCTGTGCGTCCATTTAATATTAGATAAAAATATCTCTTACGAGTACATATGCTGAACATTTGCAGGCATTGGTTCATCTTCATATTCTCTGTACTTTTCTGCCACGTCAAAGAAATAAATGACACAATGGAAAAAACCTAAAACAAGTAGTCCTATTTCAAACCACATTTACTTACTAGTAAAATTTCTTTGTTATGACACTTTCTCCAGTTTATAGGACCTCTCTCATATTCTATCTTGTCATATCTAAACTCATAGTCATGTATGTCCTCTAACCATCTCATGACACTTTCCAAACCACTTTTATCGGATGTAAAGTAAAAGCATGGATGGTTATGTAAAACGTCTAAAGTTTCTAAAGAGTCTCTCAAAGTCCAGTCTACTTGGTATTGAAAATCCCATGTGTTATAGAACGGCGGGTCCACTATAAAGAAAACATTTTCCTTGTCTTTATATTTTTCATACAACTCTGTCCAATGACATCTCACAAACTCTATACCCTCAATATATTTTTCTATGTTCTCTTTGAAAACATTTGTATAGTTAAGATATAAAACTTTTGACATAAGTGTTTCAATGTCATGAACTCTTATAGCACCACTATATAATAGTCTAGCAGATATACTATCCCAGTCAATATACTCTGCCTTTTTCAAAACCTCTCTGACAGTATTTTTCTTATCTAATGGTATACGTTCCATCTTACCTATAGGTATCTTTTCTTTTAACTCTTTCAATATTTTGTTTGTGTCTGGTATATGTTTGAGACGGTTCATATAGTTGTCGAAGTCATTGCATATAATCTTTGAGTCAGGAAATATTGTATGGCACAAATGAGATATATAGAAACTTCCACCGAACAAGTCTACAAATGTTAGACCATTCGGTAGTTTCTTAAGTTCTCTCAATAGAATATCTTTACATCTACTCTTATTTCCAAAGAAGGGTAACGGTGGTTTTGTAAAATTCATTTTATATATATAATAAAAATGTTTTTTCCTGAAAAGTGACAGAAAAGCGGTTTTTGACAGATGTTTATTGTGACTTCTTCGTAAAGACTTTGTTATGACTTCTTCGTAAAGACTTTGTTGAGATTTCTTCGTAAATGAGTGTAAATGACCCAAAAATATATTTTAGGTGAAGAGGTGAGATTTCACCTCTTTTTTCACCTCATTTCTCACCTCTTGAATTTTCATGAATTTCTTCGTAAAGACTTTGTTAAGACTTCTTCATCTAATTTCTCATGAACTTTCTTGTCTATGTTTTGTCAAGACTTCTTCTTCGTAAATGTTTTGTCAAGACTTCTTCTTCGTAAATGACCCTAGTAGTATATTTTTGGTGTAAATTTCATGAAAATTCAAGAGGGTGAAAAATTAGGTGAAAAAACAGGTGAAATCTCACCTCTTCACCTAAAATATATTTTTGGTGTAAATTTCATGAAAATTCAAGAGGGTGAAAAATTAGGTGAAAAAACAGGTGAAATCTCACCTCTTCACCTAAACATTATTTTTGGTGTAAATTTCATGAAAATTCAACGGGTGAAAAAAGAGGTGAAAAAACAGGTGAAATCTCACCTCTTCACCTAAACATTATTTTTGGTGTAAATTTCATGAAAATTCAAGAGGGTGAAAAATTAGGTGAAAAAACAGGTGAAATCTCACCTCTTCACCTAAAATATATTTTTGTCTGATTTTACGAAGAAGTCTTGACAAAACATTTACGAAGAAGAAGTCTTGACAAAACATTTACGAAGAAGTCTTGACAAAACATTTACGAAGAAGAAGTCTTGACAAAACATTTACGAAGAAGAAGTCTTGACAAAACATTTACGAAGAAGAAGTCTTGACAAAACATTTACGAAGAAGTCTTGACAAAGTCTTTACGATGAAGTCTTGACAAAGTCTTTACGATGAAATCTTGACAAAGTCTTTACGATGAAATTCATGAAAATTCAAGAGGTGAAAAATGAGGTGAAAAAACAGGTGAAATCTCACCTCTTCACCTAAAATATATTTTTATTGAATTCTGTATAATATTCTGAGTAATATGACAGATGTTTATATAACACTTTCTCCGGTTTATAGGACCTCTCTCATATTCTATCTTGTCATATCAAAACTCATAGTCATGTTTGTCCTCTAAGACTTCATTTATACTAAACATCTTCAGGGCTAGAAGGCACGAAGTGCCTGGAAGCCCCACTACCTTTTTTTTTTTTTTTTTTTTTTTTTTTTTTTTTTTTTTTTTTTTTTTTTTTTAAATCGCGTTATTGGTTCAATCTAAAGATCATTATTTAAAAAGTGAACTAAAAAATATAAATATAAGAATAAAATATAAATATAAGAATAAAATAAAAATTGTAATAAGAATGTTATAAAAAGTTTTTTAGATTTGAGTTGCCGATAGGCTTGAGCAAATGTATTTTTATTGCTAAAGGTTTTTCTGTTAGATTTATGTAATATTTTTTTAGTTAAAGGTAAATTATGATTAATTAGTGCAGTAAAGTAAGACTTCAAGAATTTTGACCAGTAAAGTGGGATTGAGGTATTTGTTATCGAGATTGTTTGATTTTAGATCTCTGATTTCGGCAAGTATGCAGAAAAACCATATTGTGAGCAGTCTAAAATGGATAAACAGCCATTCTAGATTCAAAAAATCTTTGTGAATTGCTTTGTTATTGAGAAGTAATACAACCGAATCCCAAAACTATTTTTAAAAAATTAATCGTATTATCAGAAAAAGTTCATATCGTTTTGTAATTATCAGAAAAGTATATCATTAAAACTTTAAAATCGTATAATAAAGTTAACAACAATTCTGTTTAGTAGCAAATATAATTCTGAAAGCATTCAAAAAAAATATACTAAAAAGTCAGTTGCAAATTTACTTAATTTGATTATAAATAATGAAACACTGTATGATATCCTAGTAATAAAAAATAATTTTAGGAATGAGTATTTTTTTTAATTTTTTTTAAAAATGGTATTTTCAACTAGTATCCATCAAATACTATTTGTACTAATCTACTAATATTATATGTGCGAAAATAAGATAAGTTATTAGATAATAATAAACATTACAGGCGAAAAAATCTTTTTAAGCCTGAAGACGCCTTGGATTTATTAATAAATCGATTTTATATATTTTTGCTGTATTTGGAAGATAATCTGTATCATACTCCATATAATTTTAATTGTTTGCAAAATCTTATTATCAATACAAGAATTATAATAATTTTTTCTTGTCGAAATTCTATTCAATGCTTCATAAATGGCCGAACATCTTTGTGCTTTTAAAAATTGAATATAGTATCAATTTTATAAAATAAATAAAATTTTTGAAATCAACAATTATCACTTCATTAATGTCCAATCGACAAAGAACAACATCCAGTACTCGAAGTTCGCAAGCATCAGGAACTCGAAACTCGCAAACACCAAGAAGTTCTCAAGCATCTGTACAAAACCCTGCTCCAACACAAACTTCTACAGCAACTGTGCCCCGTTCAAGATCAGAAAGGGAACCAGCTGCAACAGAGCAAATTCCTCCTCCAGCACAAGAAAACGTGACAGCGGTTAATCCCATTCAAATTGCGACTTCATCTGAAATTTCAGAAAATGAAATCGATCCAACAGATCCAATTTCATTTTTTACCCAAAGAGAAGCAGAATATATGGAATCATTTGTTGATGTTCCTGTAAATGATGTACCAGAGCCAAAGATCAAAGAACCACTAAAAATTAGGATCGAAGAAATTTTAAGGGAGCAACAAAATAATCGTCTCACAAAATTGACAAATTTGACATACAAAGATTTTAGAGATTTATTACATCTTTATTTTAATACTCTTGAACACAATCATTATAAACACACTAGAGTATCATTGGAATCGAGATTGCTAATAACATTAACTTGGTTGAAACATTCTGGTTCATTTAAAGAATTAGGAGCACAATTTGGAATCAAAAAACACATACAAGAGCTATTGTAATGGATATCATAAATAAAATTGGTTTAAAAATTGGTGAGGACTTTGTCAAATGGAGACCCTATATTCGGTGGGACGAAAGTGAAAAATCTACCGAATATCCCGGTATGCTTGGAGCTTTGGACGCTACAGTACAAGAAATTGGAAGAGCAAAAGATCAAAATTTATATTACTCTGGAAAACATAAAATGTGTTGTGTCAAAGTTCAATGTTTTGTCAGTCCCAAAGGAAGATTACTTCACTTTTCGAAACCAATCCGTGGAAAAAGACATGATTTTAGATTATTTAAAAAAACAAAAAATTCATTTCTATCTTAAAAGCAGAAAAAGAAAGAATGAATGCAGAAATTGAGACAGAGCCATGCTTATTAGCAGATTCAGGATATCAAGGTATTAATGATATAATACCATGGGCAAAAACTCCTTTTAAACGTCAAAGGAATACAGAATTAACAGATGATCAGAAGGAATACAACCGAAAACTCTCCAGTAATCGAATCATTGTCGAGAATTATTTTTCTCGACTCAAACAATACTGGAGAGTGATTGGTGGTAAATGGCCATTGAAAATCAAGGGTGATCTAACATTTTATCATCACACCTTTGCAATGTGTGCAGGCCTTACAAATAAACTTTTGTGCCGACGTCCATTACGTAGAGGTGCTGAAAGATGGGATCTTTTAGATCTTGATAGCATGGATGAAAATAGCGAGGCATATAACTATCAAGAATCAGTTTCTGAAGATGACAGTGAAAATTCTTATTAATAAAAAATTATATTTATTCTTATTAATAAAAATTATTTTATTCATATATTAAAATATATAAAATTAAATTTGATTTAGAATTGCCACTCTTGGTGTGTCACTTTTATAACCGTCACATCATATATGTCACTTTTATAACCGTTATATCATAAATATTAGCTTGTTACATAATTCACTTTCCATAAATATGATAACATTCATTTAATTGTTAATTGTTGATTGTTATTAATTAGTTACATTATTCGCTTTCCATTAATATGATAACATTCATTTAATTGTTAATTGTTGATTGTTATTAATTAGTTACATTATTCGCTTTCCATTAATATGATAACATTCATTTAATTGTTGATTGTTGATTGTTAATTGTTGATTGTTATTAATTAGTTACATTATTCACTTTCCATAAATATAATAACATTCATTTAATTGTTAATTGTTAATTGTTGATTGTTAATTGTTGATTGATATTGATTAGTTACATTATTCACTTTCCATTAATATGATAACATTCATTTAATTGTTGATTGTTGATTGTTATTAATTAGTTACATTATTCGCTTTCCATAAATATGATAACATTCATTTAATTATTAATTGTTGATTGTTATTAATTAGTTACATTATTCGCTTTCCATTAATATGATAACATTCATTTAATTGTTGATTGTTGATTGTTAATTGTTGATTGTTGATTGTTAATTGTTGATTGTTATTAATTAGTTACATTATTCACTTTCCATAAATATAATAACATTCATTTAATTGTTAATTGTTAATTGTTGATTGTTAATTGTTGATTGATATTGATTAGTTACATTATTCACTTTCCATTAATATGATAACATTCATTTAATTGTTGATTGTTGATTGTTATTGATTAGTTACATTATTCACTTTCCATAAATATAATAACATTCATTAGTTAGTATGGGTTAGTTGTGTACGGAGGCACTGCGTTCCACCTTACACCTGATATGTGAATTTGACACTTTACAAAACTGTTAACGTATATTTTACAAATCAAACGACAACACTAACTTAACCTTAAATATTTACAAAGCCACCAACCACTTCACCTCACTAATGTAAAAAATAAACGTTCTCACTTACAAAAGTATTGCAACTCCTCCCATTGCTGTGCTTCACATAACAGCTCATAATCTTCTGACTCATTTTCTTCTTCATATAGGTCAAAGTCACTGTCAAAATAAATGTTAGTAAGTTTTGACAAAGCTAATGAAACACGCTTACCGTTTGTATCATATGCTTGTATAAACTTTCCATTATGCTTGTAGTCATAAACGCTCAAACTAACTTTACCCTTTCTCCCTCGTATCTGATAGAATGTATTTTCACGAGGAACGAAGAACAAATTCTTGAACTCATGACCGTTGTAGTTTGTTATCTCAATAGTTTTCGTCATTTATATAAAAATAAAATAAAAATTTTCAGTAAAATAAAAAATAAACTTAAAAATAAATGATATCACCACCCTCACACGTATGAAAACATAGCACAAAAATAAATTTAGGTGAAGTGGTGAGATCTCACCTCTTTTTTCACCTGTTTTTTCACCCTGTTGAATTCATTGCTTTATAACTCTCTTCCTTGGTTTCTTTTTAGTTACTTTCTTCACGTCTGTCTCCAACTTGACTGTCTTTCTTCTTCGGCCGTAATGATACCAGTTACTTCCACCAGTCAATGGGTCAAATGGTCTTTCGTAAGGGTTTCCATACATTCCATAGGGACCATACGGAAGAACTACTGGTGGAGAAGAAACATTTTCTTTAGTTCCATCGAATCTATTTAAATGCATTGTTTCACCTTTCATCTGGTCATTAAAGTCTTTTGCGTGTTTTGCAAACTCATCGTCCTTTCCTAAAGCATTTTCTGACTCAGTCGCAACCAAATTGGATGCTTTATTTATGAGCCCTATTTTATTTAATCTTAACTTCTTTGCAACCCAGCCTCCAATCTTCCCTTTATTTGCATCTAATGTCTTTGAAACCCTTCCTCCACTCATTTTATTTACTGCGTCATAAGCTCCAAGTGCTTTTGCTCCAAATGCTAATGCTTTTGTTCCCATTGCGCCTAAAGCTGCCCAAGCTACCATTTACACCATATTAAAATCATCTCTCTTCAATATTATCTCATAAAAGTTCTCGTTACTGGAGAAAGTCAATGAAACATAAACATTCTCATGGGCTTCGCCCTCACCGCTTTGCGGTCTATCTAACTTATTTCTTATATCATCTATACGCTTCAAAATGTCTGAACAATTGCTAACATCTTCTACAACAGTTATTTCATCATGAATGACCTTCAAGAACAAACTCATTTAATATGCTATTAAAATCATCTCAATAACAAGTCCATCCTTTCCATCTTTAGGTAGCACAACATCTTTCATTGAAGAAGGTTCGACAAGTCTTATGTTAAACTTACTGACAAAGTTTGTTATACTATAATGCTTCGGCGGCGAATACATGTAGTTTGAAAGACATAATATAGATTCTTCAGCAAATTCACTTATACTGGATTTTATAACAATGTTCTCACGAGACCAAATACCACCAATTGACAATCTTGTAAGCAATCCTGCTGAACCTTCTACTGTAAACGTCGATGGTAACATTCCACGAAGGTCATCTATTGACATCTTTGAGTCACTGAATTTAAAGATTTTCTTAAAGCAATCGTCATTATCTAACCATGCAATAGCTTTGAAGTTTTCATTCGAATATACATCTGCTTCATTAAATGTAAAACCTGACTTCTTTGCAGAGACGACTTTAAAATCTATTGAGTTTGTTTCAAAATTATATGCTATGGTAACTTCTGAAGGTAATGGATGTCCTTCCGCAGTCAGTTGTTCTCTCACTACCGTTTGAAGCTTTGTATTAAAAACTTTCATGTCATCTCCTGTATCTAAGTTCACATACACAGCAACAGGGAAACTATCTTACTTCTTTGTTTCATCATTATACCTCAAAACATTAAAGTTCTTCAATAATATTGTTCTTCCTGCTGGAATACTTCGAACCTGTCTGATTTCAATAGCTTTCTCACCTCCTACATACTCTACCCAGTGTCTTGGATATTCATAAGTATACTGACTTTCTTGAATTTTGGTTGGTTTCATCATAACATGTTCATAGTATATCTTTATACTCTTGTCAGTTAGACTCGGTGCTATGTTCTGAATATTTCTGACTTGCATTTTTAATGGAGATAAAATGAAGCATTTAATACATGACGTAGATGAAGACATGAATGAAACTACAGACAAACTTAACTCTTCTCTTATTCTTCCTTTCAGTAAGGACTATGAGTTCTGTTCAAATGGTGTGTATTTCTATTGTGGAAAGATGGGTTCAGGTAAGACATTTAACCTCATTCGTCATATACTCATAACAGAACGTTTAGGAAATGACTCATATTATGACCAAATCATTATATCAGCAACTTCAGACTCTATGGACTCAACAGCGAAAACATTTATGTCAAAAGTTCAAGCCTCTGTCGTTAAAGTTCCAGACAGTGAACTCATTGAATTTCTTCAACGTTACATTCGACGTAAGAGGAAATATTATGCTATCGTAGAGTTCATACAGTCAGGAATGCAAAAGACTTCTGAGGAGATGGAAAGAATTATTGACAAACACCACTTACGTCAATACTCAGGAGTTTACGATATGAAACGACTTACAAACTACATTCTGTCAAATCTTTCAAAATACCCCTTCAAAAAATATCCATCAAACACTTTATTAGTTTGTGACGACTTCGCCGGAAAAGGTTTAGTTTCAAAGCCTGACTCACCATTAGCTAACATCATAACTAAAGTCAGACATTACCATTTAACTGTAGCAATACTTATGCAAACATGGAGGTTTTTAGCTTTAAACATAAAACGTCTCATAACTGACTTCGTTATCTTTCAAGGTTTCTCACGTTATGATATTGAACTCATTTGGAAACAGTCAAGTATAACATTACCTTTTGAAGAAATTTGGGAAGCATATAAGTCTCTCATCTCTCCTCGTTCATACCTTGAGATTCATATCATGACTAATACCATTAAAGTCAAAAATATTCCATGGGAACGACCAACATTGTTTTAAAGTTTAACCTTCAATTGACTGATGGTAAACAAATTCCATGCATCTCTGTCGCCATTTCTGTTAATATTTTTGCTGTCATTCATATCATCCACTTCCCCATCCGTTAACTTTTGAGGATATGCGTTAGAATAGCTGTTCTTAAATGAAGGCTTTTCACCTTTGAGAGCATAAACTCTATAACTTTCTGCATACTTTATGTTTGAACCTCCTGAGCCATCATTGACATAAATTTTTATAGGCTTCCACCCTTTGTTCATATTCCTGCTTCTTCCCTTAGCTCTTTTGTTCAGTAGTTCTACATCTTTATACACAGCTCATGTCTCAGTGAATTCAACAATATTTTCATTCGTTAGCTTTACATTCAAACCCTTGTCGAGTATATTGTTCATTTCATACATATAAAAGGTTTTTATTCTATATGAAATGAGAAGCAAATCCATCTTAGCTGGTGCCGTTAATGTTCCAATTGAACCAACATCAAATGTTGACTCACGAACGACAAACAATATTGTCATAAAGAACTATAGTTCAGAGTGTTTGAAAGAAAAAGAACCAGAACTTAAGTCGGTGAATTTAAACACAGCTTCAAACGCTAACGCTACATCAGATGTTAAGTTAGAGTATCCACCACTGGACCAAATTCTTTCAAGAGAAGCCAACGACAATCCTTACACAAATGTTCAAACAAATCCTTCAGATAACGTAGACCATTACCTTCTTCAGTTATACCAAACAATTTTACTCAAAGACGATAAGAAGCTTTTGACAAATCTTATAAGCAAGAACCAAATAATTCTAACAAAGGAGGACCTTGAAAATGTTATCTCACGAATAACAGGGAAACAATGTGTCATTGACTATCTCGACCCTGAAATCGAATGCTGTGGTCAAACTCCACTATTCATGAAAATAGGTAACATCCGCATCATTGAAACACCAGGAACTACAGGAGTTGAGTTTAAGTATAAATATTCGAACGAGTATACAAAACTTTCAACAGAATATAAACTTTGTTTGAAATATGTTTTAGTAAATTAAAGCAGTCAGGAGGGCTCTTTGAGCCCATCTTGGCGCTTTGCGCCGTCAGTCAAAAAAATTTCAAGTTAGCAATTTGTAATATCTATCCAAAACTTCTTCAACAGTATCGAACTCATCTTCATAATGCAAACCTAATCTTATTGACTTGGTGCAGTTTTCACTAACACAATATTTTTCTGTTCTCTTGACTGACATAACTAACTCATTTGTTTCATCAAACAGCAACAACCAAAGTTCATGACCTAATACATAACATTCATACTTTATATTTTTAGCTCTGAGTTCTCTTGTAAGCTGTTGCATTTAATATTTTCTAAAAAGTCAACTTCAACAGTCATTCGCACTGGTGCCTTCAGTTCTACAGGCTCTCCTTGAAAGTCAACAAGTCTGAATTGCATGTCTTTCAAATTATGAGGACTAATGCGAACCCATTTACCTAAATGAGTTGCTATGACAGGAACGTTTGGAATGAACATTGAATTGACTGCATAACAGAAGGATTTATATTCTACTGAACCTTTACTATTAACTCCTGAAATGCCTGTGACATTAGCTATTTTAGACTCAATGTATAAACAATTACCATAACATACGTATGGAACAGATTTCATCTCAATCGTTTTGTCAACACTTTTCAAAGGAAATGTCATATGGTATGCACCCAAAAGAAGTTGTACTCTATGACTCATTCTTGGTATCTTAAACTCCTTCGCATAACTGAACTTCAAAACTCCTGCAATAAGTTTAACATTCATTAAGTTTTCTTCGTTATCCTTGTTTATTGTAGTATTTATGAGAGCATTTAACACTCCAGCTAATGTTTCCATCTTATATTCTACATTATTGTGAAATCTTATTTCGTGCTTCTTTCCATCTATTTCAATCTCCATGAAATCTGTTTCATCTGTTATAACGAATGAAGCGATAGTATTGAAGTCAACCATTCTGAATGCAAGCGCCTCATTCTGTAGACCTAAGTTTGTTTGTAGCTTTACTGTCCCGTATTCGTTTGGGTCTGTACTTTGCAAATAGAACAACATTTTATTCTCATTAAAATATGAGTATAGCTGCATATGCGTATGGAGCTGACAGAGCTAAACGTTTATATTTTGGTCAATACTCTCTCACACTTACTGACAAATATATTGTTATCACTGATGGAAATACTGAGAAATACATAACATGGAAGGACTATGAAAAGTTTGACCCTATTTTAACTCCATGTACTATGCCGTTTATAAAGGACGGTGAAATTATTGAAAAAGATAATACAACCGTATATAGGTCTGTTTATGAAGCATTAGAATATATGTTGAATCATAACCCAAAAAGATTTGACCCAAGCACTACACCATGTGCAATACCTTTTATTAAGGACGGTGAAATCGTAAGAGTTCCGGATTCAACGGTTTACACAGCTGTTCAAAACAGTTTACAAAACATTTTAGCGAATATCTTTAATTCAGAAACTACAGAAATAAAATTACCATATATAACAGATGCTAAAGAAATTAAATCAAAAACGACAACATTATTTACGTCACTTAATGATTTAATGACTTATATCATTAATATTCCTGCACCAACTACAGCATTTGATCCAAACTCGACGGTTTGCAGTGTACCTTTCATAAATATAGATCTGCAATTTTCCCAAATGAACGGGGTGGATAAGATCCCAGCCCTATCGTCATCCCAGTGTCAATTTTACAAAAAAAATTCTTAATAAAAAATTTTTATTAAAAAATTCTTATCTTTTTTCATTGAAATTTAAATAATAAAATAAATTTGGCTGTAAAAACCATCAATTATTATAATTCTTATCGAAACACATGTAGAAAAACACTTATCTTTTATACTCTTTCTATTTGAAACCTGTTTAGTTCAGTAATTAATAATAAAAATTGTGAAAATAGTGACTATTTAACTAAAAATATATTAAATGATGTAATAATGAAATATACATATATTTTTACGAATTATAATTAGAAATTATTCTGGTCTGGGAATCCCAACCCAAAATCATTGAAAATTTGAATATATAGGATGGGCTACCCATCCCAAAACTATATTGAAATTTTTGAATTGATAATAAATGTATCTATATCTAAGGTATATTAGAGAATTTTTAAAAATTATGCATTAAAAAATTGAATTTATTCAAAACAAATTGAGAATAAAAATGCTTAAGTAATCACTTCATTATTTCAACAATGATTGATGCAGTACCGACGTACTATAAAGACATTGAGGTCGGTACTAAGCATCAGTATCTTAGATATAAAAAACCAGGCGACAAGTACGGAAAATATTATGTTAAATGCAATGAACTAGTAAAGCGTCCTGACGGAACTATATGCCACTGTGCAATGGAAGAAATGCGTGAGGATCATTTCAAAAAATGGATCCAAAACAAACGGCACATATGCACACCAGGAGAAGTAGCATCACAACAAACAATCGATCAATACTATCAAAACGTCCCAGCAACAGGGCTTACACCTATATCGTTAGGGGATATCTATGAACAGCTTGCTACATTTACTGGAAGATTTAACTTGGCTCTGAATACCTTCTCAAGCCCAGAGTTTACAAAGCTAGTTAAAACCATTATAATGTATACTGCAGACTCGATGATATTGAAGTTCCCACAGTTACACAATGTTAACATCAATGTTGATAAACTAGCTTCTCAAATATACCAGCCTATTTCAACTGACAAACTAAGGCAAACAATGATACAAATTGCAAATTCAATCCATGTTGCAAAAGTTGATGAGTTTGCTAAGCTTGCCTGTACCTGTGTTGCCATTGATGAGGGGAAGACTCAGCAGTTTCACAATCTGGACTTCTCCCTCACAAATCCTCTGCAAAGCAAGCGGTCCTATCCTGTTGAGTCAATCCAAATGAATGGTGGAACATCTGAAGATTATATCCACTCGCTTACTCAAGGATTTAACAGAATCTTCATTAGAGATGTTAAGATCAGCAGTGTAGTTTGCGATGGCAATAAAGCGCAATTGAAATGTTTTCAGAAAGGATGGAATCAATCGTTCTACAACTCAAATGACCCAAGGTTATTCAAAATCTTGTTTATCCCGTGTTTATGCCACAGGATTCATAATTGTTATCAATATATGACAACAAAAGACGTAGCATTAGGAGCAATTGTGAAACATATCCACGAAATATCAGCTCTTTGTAGAATCCATGTTGAAGACATCGGAGCTCTCTGTCCAAAGCATGTATCCACCAGGTGGATCTATGATTATAATATTTGTATGTTTATTATCAAGTATCAAGACAAAATTTCAAGATATACGCGTATTGATATTGAAAACATCAAGTTCTTAAGAGACTGCTTGGCAATTCTCAAGAAGCTTATTTCCACGTTCGAATCAGATAAAACCAAGATATCTGATTGCTACGTATGGCTTTGCAAGGGTATTGAAGCACTCCAATACCTTTCCAGCAGCAACAACAATCCTTTTGCTGGAATCCTTTCAAGATCGTTGTTGAACTATACCCTTGGATCGGACTTTGGAGGTCTTTGGTGCTTAGCCTTCGCTTTTACACCGAAAGGTAGGTATTATTTCAACCAAAAATTCGTCCACGGAGCGCAGATCAACGAATCTCCGGCAATTAATTCATTTGATATTACAAACGTAACTTTCGTTAATCCAGTAGAAGACATTCAATCTATCTATATGGACTCTATCTTTGAAGAAGGTTCGACTGAAGTTTCTCTTGATATGGTTGAGGAGGGATCAATTCGTCAGGTAACTGCTACAATTGACCCTCCTATGCTTGATCTCGCAGATGTAACATCTAGTTCAAATCAGCCGGTTAACCATTTTGTTGCAGCTAGGCAGTATCTCAAAAGTATTTTGGAACAATTTCGTATTCCGGGTCAAACAATAACAGATATTATTACACTATTTAACACGTATATTAATAGTGATAATGATATCTTCTCTGATGATATGATTCAAGAACGTCAAGAATACGGTTGGGAAGAAATCTCTCATAGAGATGGCAATGTATCAATCTTTGCAGATATCGCCCTTCGTGTTATCTCCGCTTCACCTTCAGAAGCAACATGTGAGAGAACAATAAAAGACCAAAGATTGATACTAAATTTGAAAAGATTACGTTCTCACAAAATTTTATTAGATAGCCGAGAAATTTTAATGGCTACAAAATAAATATCTATATTTATTATTAAAAATTGTTTTATATTTTATCTGTTCAATATTTATCTCATATAAAAATTTGAAATACTTAATCAAAATTTCTATGTGTTTGTTTGAAAGAGATCGATAGCAATTCATATATCTTTTGAATTTGCTAATTGTGGTGATGGTACTATTATTATTAATTTTTTATTTTTATTTTTTTTTTTTTTATTTTATTTTTGATAATATACTATTTAGATTTATACATTCATTCAATATTATGAAATAAATATTTCTAAATTGATCTGATTAATTTTTCATTAAAGTTTATATTATCACCAAATAAATTTTCGAACCCTTAGAGTCATAGTTCAATGGTAAGAGTCATAGTATAATCGTAAAGTCCATTGGTTCGAATCAAGGGGATTTTCACACTTTTTTCTTTTTTAAAATTTCAGAGGTTTATTTTTAAGGTTCTCGCTGGCGACCCCCCGTTCGTCGAAAAAAAATTTGATTTTTGCTGGCGACCCCCCAATCACCAATTTTTTTTCGACGAACGTGGGGGGGTCGCCAGCGAGAACCTTAAAAAAAACAGAATCCCAAAAAAGGTGACATTTTGGGTGTATCGTCTATCCCAGGGATAGAAAAATGACTTCACCTTGGATCTATATTCATAAATGACAGTTCATTAATTACTTTAAGGGATTCGACAGTAAATGAATCATTAAAGGCGTCATTAATGAAAATCATTGATTTTAATTCATTCACGAATACATATAATTCATTCATTAATGTTTCATATGCTTCTAAAGAAGGTGAGCCAAAAACTATCGATAAAGCGGTGTATGAAATAAAAGCATCAACGACGAAATTGAATTCGTTAACTTTTGACGGTGATAGTTTCGTTAATGACATAACATCGGGGAAAACAATTTTAACGAAAGAATACTTAAAATCTCATGTTAGTGAGTTCGTTGAAATTGAAAAAGAAGGTGGAATTAAGTTCGATCCACTGAATTTCATTTTCAGCTTAGCGAATGCGGGTGTTAGTTTCGCTGAATGGACAACTATACAGAGTGAAATAAATGCAATATGGACGTTTTTGGGGTCAAAAGCGGGAATGGGTGAGCTTGTAAATGCTGCAAGAACATTAGGTGAAACAGGAAATTTTGTAGATGGTTTTAAAAGACTTGTTTCAAATGTTTTAACAAACACAAAGAAATTATTTAGATATACCGTACATAACGGACGGATTTTCGAACAGATAGCAACAAACCCTCCGGTTATGGCTGCGTTGATGATGGTTAGAGATATAAAACCACGTAACGACGGGAACGAAGAACATGAACAACAAGATACTGGTCGGGTTATTCGAGACATTAAAAACGTGTATCCTGAAGTTATTGATTTATTTAGAGGAGTTAATGATTCAATTTCAAAACATTCTATAACCCTCGATGAAGAGAATAAATTAACAGATTATATATTCGTCATTATTGCAGAATTAATGAAGAGAATAAATGAAAAAGGAATTGGTGATATCATTAATGTCAGCGATGTAATGATGAAAAGAAATTTTGACTCATTATTTACAAAACCGAAAACAGAATATAGTCTTTATGACGTAATTACCGAATTAATGAAAAAGATTAATGATAATAAGAGTTCTGGCGGAAGAGTTGAATTAGAAGTGAATGATGTTAATGAGAAATTAGCCGAAAAAGCAGACAAAAATGAGCTTTTAGCTCTGAGTGATAAAGTCAAGAACCACGTTCATTATATAACTTCAGACGAACAGATTATAACGGACTACCATGGATATTTAACACGAAGTGATGAAGCGAAGACAAAAAATGTTAATGAAAGAAGATATAAATACATTCGTGCTAAAGGTTATGACATAAGTTGTACTGTACAGTATGATGTAGCTAAAGCACCAGAAGCATTTGGTTATACCGGTGAAATTTATGCCTCTACTTTCAATGTTAACGGTGTATTAGTTGAACCAAGATTTACTTTGAGAGTTAAGGCAAAAATAACTTTTGAAGATGCTATTAAAAGTAAAGCCGACAAAGATGAACTTGACGCAACGAACAAAGTTTTGAAATCTCATAAACACAATATCCCCGATATAAATGAACTTCAAGCTACATTAAATAGTAAAGCTGACAAGAACCATACACATAAATCCTTCACTACTGTTAGAGCAGACGACATAATATTGAACTATACCCTTGGTTCAAGTGCACCTTTAGAGAATCCAAGTACAAGCGTAAAAGATACACTAAACTCCTTAAATAACAAATGTATGAATATCGAAGGTCATGTCAGAAACTTTGAAACATATGAACTACCAGCAATGTTAGATAAGAAAGCTGACAAGAACCATACACATAAATCCTTCACTACTGTTAGAGCAGACGACATAATATTGAGCTATACCCTTGGTTCAAGTGCACCTTTAGAGAATCCGAGTACAAGCGTAAAAGATACTCTTAACAATTTAGATAACAGATGTATGAACATTGAAGATCATGCCAGAAACTTTGAAGCATATGAACTACCAACAATGTTAGATAAGAAAGCTGACAAAACAGAGCTTCAAACATTAAAGACTGAAATACTTCAAACATTATATCCTATAGGCTCTATTTATACGTCAATGAACTCAACAAATCCAGCAACAGTTTTAGGTTTTGGTACGTGGAAGCAGATTGTAGATAAATTCTTATACTGTGCTAGATATTCAAAGCAAACAGGAGGTTCGAAGAAAATTACTGAAGCAAACCTTCCACCGCACACTCATACAGGAACGACAAACACAACAGGTAGTCATTCACATTCAATAACAAAAAGAGGTTATACAAATCTTGCAGCAGGTTCGGATAGACAGGGAATGCATAGATATGATATTTCAAGTGACCCAGTAGATTCAAGCGCAGGTATTTTCTGTGGAACCACAGGAAATCATTCACACACTTTCACAACAAATCCAACAGGCTCGGGTGCAGATTATATGCCACCATTTGTGACTATATTCGCATGGTACCGCGTTTAATGAACGCGCTTGAGCCTTGAATAAAATCTTTAACTTTACATAAATGAGCTTGAAAGAAGTATTCGAACAACATCCATGGAGGTCATTTAAGAAGTTCAATGAAGCTGCAAAGAGTTCGGGATTTACTAACAGAGCTGAAGTGAAAAGGTTCTTTGACAAAAATGTTGTACATCAAACAAAAATAAATCCTTACGACTACTTTTTACCAATTTACTCCACACTCCTGACGCATACCAATTTGACACTCTCATTCAAAGCAGAAAAGGAGGACATAAACCATTCCTCATCTTCATTAATGTTAACACTCGCAAAGCATATGCATATCCAATGAAAAATAAAGGAACTCGTGAAGTGTTAAGAGTTTTACAAAAGTTTGTAGCAGAACATAGCCAAGTACTTTAACATCAGACCAAGACAGTGCATACCTCAGCAATGAAATCACAGATTTTCTCATTAAGCATAACATAACTCACTACACTACTGAAGACCATAACCATAACATACTCGGCATCATAAACCGCTTCATAAGGACTCTCAGAGATTTAAACCAAGAGCGAGACTTTACCGAAGAAACAATGAAACATTTTCTCGAAGTATATAATTCCTCAACACATTCTACTACAACAGGACATACACCAAATTCAATGACACAACAAAAAAGAAAAGTATATACAAAAGAAACGAAGCCAAACACAAAATATCAGAAATTCAACACAATTTACCCTCATTCCTGGTACAAAAGTTCGTGTAGTTCTTGACGACAAACCGTTGACAAAGAAAACGCTTAAGGTTAAGTAGAAACTATTATATCGTAGACTCTTACGCAAGGTAATGGATATCTTATAAAAGCTGCTGACGACTCTATTGCGTTTTACCCTCGACATAAATTAGTTGAAAGTAGTAATGGCAAACTTGCTGAAACCATTGACGAAGCAAAGCGAGGAGTGGTTATTGAAATACTTGGCTATAACATAAACGATGACACTTATAAAGTAAGATATGAAGGAGGCGTTGAAGATGTTATACCATCTAAGAACTTGAGAGAGTCAAAGTCAACACATCTGGGACCATTAGAGCGGGAGTACTGGAAAGACAAAAATAAGCCAGAAAGAATAAGAAAATTCTTCTAAACTTTTTCATTAGATGTAAATCAGACATGAATGAGAACAGTCATGTATTATTAATGGTACCATTTATTTTTGTCATAAATTTACACCAAAAATATATTTTAGGTGAAGAGGTGAGATCTCACCCGTTTTTTCACCTCTTTTTTCACCCTCGCCGCTTAGCGGCTCAGATTGCTTTAGCTTTCTCGTGAATTTTCATGAATTTCCTTAAGATAGAAAAATAAAGTTAGTTTTATTTTTATTTATTTTTTTTATTTTGTATAAAAGATATGATTTCAACAATCGGCACAACAACAATTCAAGCCACGAACGGCGGGACTCTGTCCACAACTACAGCACCAAACTCGCTAGTCATGAATCCTACGTCAATGTTGGTAGAGATGAAAAGCTTTATTCCTTCTTCATATACTTTTGAAACAGAAATCCAGAAGATAAAGCAAGAACTTTTAACAAGTAATTTAGACTGTAGTGCGAAAGATGAAACAAAGGAACAGTATCTTTATGAAATGGAGGACCTCATCGACCATTTGCCTAAACTACCTGAAATTCAGCAGCAAAAACTAACTATTCCTGAATTCGACGAAATTGAAGTCAAAGCAACTGACTCAGTAGAAATTAAGAAATTCATACGTAAAGTAAATTATGAATTCCTTGGTTTTCATTGCAACCATAAAGTTATGGACAAAGATTGCGACATGGTTTATAAAAATATTTCTGACATATATAAATCGGGGGAGTTTAAGACATACGACAACTTTGTTTCATTAGTTGCAAAACGTGTATGGCAGATAAAAGATAAAGATAGAAGAGGTAAAGTATGGAATGAACAGATAAAACCAGCAGCTTTTGAGTTAAAGAAAACCATTGACGCCTTAGTTGTTCTAGCTGGTTTTATTTCAATGTATAACGCAAAAACGATGCCGCAATGTTCAAAATGTAAAGCAGCAATAAGAAAATATAACTACTCAGTCAAAGAGATAGAAAGAATGCGAAATGACTATGCAGACTTAAAGAAAGAAGCAGAAAAGCCAGCAGAAGATAAAATGGATATGTTGACATTTCTTAATAAAAACTATCCAACAGCAGAAGATTTCCTTCTGTCTGACGTCAAGAAGAAATATGAAGAAACCTTCGGCATTGTTAAAACTTTTGATGTACTAAAAGAAGAAATAGAAGCTACGAAATTGTTTAGGATTTCAAATATACATCGTACAATTCATGTAAAACGCTTGTGAAAAAAGAGGTGAAAAAACAGGTTAAAAAAACAGGTGAGATCTCACCTCTTCACCTAAATTATATTTTTATTGAATTCAGCACAAAAATCATGAATTTCATTAGTTAGAAAAATAAAGTTAGTTTTTTATAAAATATTTTTTTATTTTGTATGTAAAGACAGTAATGACAACATCAGAGAACACAACAACAGTTATAGTCCATGAAGCTATAAATGAAGAATACGAATACATACAATATAACAAACAACTTCGCCTCATTCGTTCGGTCAAAGACGATATGTACCAAATGCAAAGTATAATGAACGCTCTTCGTTCTACAAAGCAAGCATATCATTGGTTTGAAAACCAACAGACAAAAGAACTTTTAGAAGAATTTCCTCATATGATTGCTTCCCTCGGAAAACCGAGAGAAGAGATTCCGTACGAAAATCGCAAGAATTTGGCTCCTGGTTTGAAAGGTTATTATGTTCATAGACTTTTAGTAAATGCTGTAGCAATGTGGGCTTCACCTCGTTATGCTTGTTATATTTTCATGATGTTAGATGAACTATATAAAGCAGAACGTGGAGAGATGGAAAAGAAACTTCATGCAAAAGATGAAGTCATTGAATCCAAAGACAAAAGCATACAGAAAAGAATACCGCGTTCAGTACCAAAAGGAAAGGAAAAGAGTTATAGGTATATGATTTATACTGAAGAGTTGGAGAAAGAAGAAGATAAAGATATGGTTATGTTGCATTTAGTGAGAAGAAACAACAAGAGCTTTTATGACTTAGCTAAGATATATAAATCTGACAGAAACTGGTTCTATCGTGAAAACTTACCGATTTCAATGACACCGAATGAGCAAATAAAGGAAATTGTCAAAAATACTCTTCCTCAAACACACTATGACATCAAAGGTTGCACAATACTTACATTCAAAGAAGACTTAACATTACTGAAGGAAAAAATAACAGAATATTTCGATAACTTCAAAGAGGAAGAATAAAAAAATCTAAGCTAATTTTATTTTTTTTATAAAATTTTATCTCATATGAAAGAACATGAATTTAGAATATTCGGAACTCATGACAGAAGAAGAGAACGAACAACATGTAAAAGATTATGCAAAATTTCTGAAGACATACAAAGCATTTAAACAATATCTAAATGCTTCTAAAGATTATGCAAAATTTCTGAAGGTATATAAAGCTTATGAAAAAGCGTATGAAAAGTTTATACATTGGGGAATTGTTGTAAAATATCGATATGAAGACTAACCAAAAATATATTTTTGCTTAAATGACGTCAGGGTCTATTTCTTCAACCATTTCACTTCCTTCGTCAATGTCAATAGAAGCTTCTTCAACCTTTGGTAAGAACTTTTGTATAACATCTTTGTTCGTTATTGTCTTCAGAGATGAAGGATAATATTTCACATTTATTTCACCCTTCTTATATTCTTTCTGTTCGGAAAGATTTAAAGCAATACTGAAGAAGTCAATATTAGAGTTCTTTATAACAGTATAATGAGTATCTTTGACATTCACGAAGAAACTCTTTTGTTTCAAAACTACTGCTAACTCTTGTGAAGTATAACGTTTGCGGTCAATGACGATAGCTAATGGTCTGACATACTGACCAAACTTAGATTCTTTCACAAACTTCTTGTTAAAGATAACATTAACATTTGAAGCATTATTGAACTCATTCTTGATGGCAGTAGCGAGAGCATTGTATGAAAAGAACTTGCAATCTTGCATGTGTTTCATTAAATAAAAATATTAAATTATTTTGAAAAATAACTTAAAAAAATCTAATCTAATTTTTTCAAAAAATATTTTTTATTTCCTACTAAAGATGTATCGGAAGTTGTCTAAGTTAGAACACTCGGAAATAAAACAACTTCTAACAGAAGCTAACATAGATGTTGCAAAGCATTACGCAACAAACAAAAAAGCACTCGCTGACTTCATTAAAGACTATAATGGTCCAATAAGTTATGATAGAATTCATGAGTTCATAAAGCTGCAACCGCGGCGAGACGAAGTCCATGCAAGAGCATTTCCTTTAAATGACGTTGCTATTGACTTATAT